ACAACTTTTTTTGCTCACTGTATTTAGTACAAAAGTTTTCAAAACCATGTGTCATTTTAATTCATCCGACTTATATATCAAAGTGACGTACCTCTGAATTTTGACTTGCTAACTTCTTGGCTGGACCATATAGACCCATCACAGTCAACACCCTCCGTTCTAATGAAGAGATAGGTGTTGTACCTTCTACAAAATCTTGGGAACCCTGGCGTTTTATCAATATTGCCTTCCTCTTTACTTTAGCCTTAAAATCTGACCATACCTAAAAACATTCATAAATAAACACAACATCCAGTTTAATTACTAAAACTTACAATATCAACGATGGAAATTAAACATTGGCATATAATGGCACGATTTTATTTTCGCACCTTCCTAAGAACGTTCCATGTGAAATATCAAATTTAAGATAAACTGTAGTAAATAGTGTATAAAAATCTCTAGCGAAATATTTTCATAAAATTAGATTTCAGTGTGGTATGATGGGGTTGACATGTTCAAAAGAATAAAAGCCCCTTAAAATAAAAGAATGTCTCCCGCGCTTTTTCTAAATAGTTTTACTATCAATTTACCCACAAATACGTTTCTTTTGACGTGTGATACAGACTACAAATAGTGAGAAAGTCATTTATTGCTTATTGATTTTAAAATTAAAATTGTTATTTAGCAAAAATATTCGGTGAAGAATCTTTATTATCTTTTTAACCACATACAATTGTTTTTTTTTTATTTATTTGCTTTACGACCCCGTATTAGAATACATAACAGTCCTTTTCGGGAGTTATAATTAAAAAAACAGCGTGTTACAAGCGCACACGACATTGGATTTATAATCCCAAAATACCGCGACATCCCGAGATTACGCGCCATTTTCCATTTTCAGTGGTTGCATACTATGAATATTATAATATACATTGGCTCATGTTTTTGTTTTATATTTCAATATTTTTTTAAATGACATTGTATTTATTTATTTTACAACTAGCTGTCGTCTCGCGACTTCACACATGTAAATTATAGCCTATGTCAACCCCGTATGATGTTGCTACCCGTAGGTGAAATATTTTTTTAAATCAGTCCTGTAGTTTCGGAGCCTATTCGATGCAAACAAAAAAAACAAATTTTCCCTGTTTATAATACTACGAGTAGTATAGACTAATTCATACGTACTTTTCTCCATTTTTCAAGGCCCTTCTGAACTCCGAACCGGCTATTATTCAAACTTTTAGTTAGATCTTTCCAGTGTTGTTCAATTTTTATGCGATCTTCAATAGATTTATAAGGTCGCGAAAGATCACCATGCCTAAAACAATTCATACAACTTCAAAGAAAAATTACATTTAAACGTATTTGAAAGCCGATTCTAAAAACTGATAAAAATTTTACTATTTAATTTTTCTAAGTATTTAGAAAAGTATCAACTGCTTTTGTGTTATTAATGTAATGCACACTCATCAACACGTTAGTCAGGACTCAGGTTACATCAAAAATTATTATCTAAAACTGAATTTACTGACATATATTAAGATTAGAAAATCGGTTGCAGACGACCAGTTGTGCTGTTGACTGCGGTTTAAGCTAGTTGATAATTGATATCAAAAATAATCGAATGAAAAACTTACTTTTCCATGAACTTAATCATAAACGCGATTTGCATTGGATGAGCACGCAATCTGCCTTTCAACTTATTTGGAACATTGTTACTGCAAACGAAAACAATATCTCATTCGTATTTCACTTTTGTATTTAATTTTCACCATCTTCGTCTCCTTCTAACACGCATCTATTTAATTCATTAGAAGAAGACAGCATTTATATTGTCAGACAAATCAAACGAACCAAAACTCGATGGGATAATTTCGTTTAATTACAGACGTTGACTACCCACATCTCTATCATTAGATCAGCTCCAGTCCAAACTGGTTCGTCGTCATCTATGTTATATACATTACACAATCAAAAACCGGGAAGTGCTGCCATTGTAACGTCAGGTCGGCCTTTATATCTAGTTCGCGTAGAAAAAATATACTAAATATTTTCAGTAAATAATTTAGTGTATATTTTTGTATTGTAGCGTCAACTCGGCTTTCATATCTAGTACATGCTTTTTACGTAATCTAGGTATGAGAGTGAGCTGAAGCCACACAATGTTTTATGAAATGAATATCCCAAGTCCCATAGAATATTGTATTATTGCTTCGTTAACTTACATCAGCGTAGGAAGAAGATAAGCCATCATAGCTATTGAAATGAATTGCGGAACTTCTGGAAGCTTCTAAATTGAAGGCAGCCTTAGAAAAATAGGTATTTAACTCACCATTCGTCCGTATTGATGTCCTCGTCGTTCTCTGATGCCTTCTCACCTTCAGTCTGGACCTTCTCTTTGATGGCGTGCAGTTTATTCTTGAATCGAGACAGTAACTCCAATGTGAAAGTTTCCCTATGATCAAACAAATAGACTTATAGTTTGGTATGAGCACTATTGAATAACTTTACTTCGAAAGGCACGTGTACTTTTGATTCCTAACTCCGGAGTTATTACCCCCTGTGGAGTTAAAATCTTAATCTGGAATATCAATTAAGACGAAACCACCTAAAAAACCGATGAATTTAAAACAATACCAACCATCTCACTAGCCACCAGTCAGGCGAATTAACATGACAAATTTAATTTCGCACTTACTAATATATTTTATAAAAATAATAAATCTAAGGTTTGAAAAATTTGTAGACTGGGACGATTAACGGCTAGAAAATAACAGAATTTCGAAAGCACAAACACAGGTGCCATTTATGTTATCGCTATTGAAGCTCGTATGGCGATGCAGGGACATAGATTATTCAATTCATTGTTTCATAATTTATTAAAATTTAAAGACTAATAAAAATACAGTCCCGCCCAAGTCTCAATTGCCAAATCAAAAGTCGAAAAAAAACAAGGTAAGGACATGACAAAAATTGCTAAAAGGAAGTATTGTCATAATACCAATGGTATTTAAATTGAAGTCTAAATGCTTTGACTCTATAATTATAGCTTTCTTTGCTATACCTTGTAATTGTTTTGAGGTTAAATAAATAAAAACAACAAACTGCTATTCCCAATGATATATTTACACTATTTCATCAATAAAATATTAAATTTCAAATGAATAAACATCATAATTGTTCAATTTGAGCAAAAATTGATCAATTTTGCATTGAGAATGCAATACTGAAAAATATTATTAATGAAAAATGCTTAAAAATCCACTTTGTCCCTGGCACTCTGAGATGGGATTCATCATCTCAGAAAAAAATCCGCTTGTGTGGACAAAGCGGATTTTTTAAACATTTTTCACACACATAGTTCCAATGACTTTGTTCGTGCCTAAAATGAAACAGAAAACTTCCTATAGTTGATATAACAAGGAACGCATTAGAATTTAAATGAGAGAGGGCAGAAATTAGTCATTGACCAACTTTATTGTAGCAATGACTAGTATTCTAGTACTTTTTTCAGTTACAATTTTATCAAAATAATTTTAATATAAACTAGCTACTTTAGTCGTTCAATAAAAACTATTATTTTTATTATAATAATTATTATTTCATGGTAAATAAAAAAATATATTTAAAACCAAATAATGATCCCAAGTCTTTTATTGTTTATATGTTTAAAGCTTTTTTTACTTAAAATAATATTATTAATTAGCAGTTCCAGTCGTTTTTAAGAGAAAAATATAAGTTATATGGTTCCCAGATAACATAGGCGACAAATTACCAAATTAATCCAATCGATTGAAAGTTCGGCAAATAAGTTCAAAATATAAGAACTTCGAACTTATTTTGCTATGCTGCTATATGAACATAGCGGGTTCAGAAATTATATTTTAATATAATTTAATAGAAAAATATAATACTTCGACTTTAGCGTTAGTAAATTGTAATACTTAAAGTAGTATTACAAAAAATAAAGCTTATGAGATAACCCAATTAATTTTGTAGTGTTTGTTACAAAACAAAATTTTCATGATGATCTAGATTTAGAAGTGTACTAAAGCCCTTCGCTTAGAGTTAGCCGTCAAGAAAATTACGTTATGGGCCCATCAACTGGTACCGTCAACAAAGAAATAATAAATATTTTTAACTCCTCTTTTCATTGGTTCACGACGAGTTGGGAGTTGATAATCTTAACGTTAAGGTTATCGAACTTAACAAAACAATTAAAATATAAATTCTTGCAGAAAAAAGAATCGATATCGACGACCAACACGGACAAACTTACGCGATGTCGTTGCTAACGGTACGCGTAGGGTCTGCCTGGAAATGCGGTACGGTTAAGCGACAGGCCAACTCAAAGCAAACGGCTAGTAAGTCTATGTTTGAACATAATTTAAATGTTTTTCATTAAATGCTTTTTATTTATATAAATTAAGAATTTATTCAATCACAAAAACATTTATGTTAAAAAACAACCATCAGGCACCAGACTAGACTCAACCTATTTACTTAAACAAAAGTTATCTTAAACAAAAGTTTAAAATATTTGTAAGAATATTTCTTGCTACTTTTTGTAGTGAAATGTTTATCTGAATATTGATAAAAATATACTTATTAGTAGGGAAAGTCAAAAAACCTAAAGCTTTATTGGAAGAGCCTGTTTAGAGAAGATCGCTGATTTTATTTCAACCTAAGATCGTTATTTTTTCCACATTTTTCTAAGTTAATTGTAAGCTCATTTTTATTGGTCGACATACCGCATGCGATTATTCCCTGAAGACGAAATAACGAGCCACGAAAGTCGGATAGCGACTAACGAAAGTCAAGAGTTAATAGCGCAGTCTCTTTACTGCACTAGCAACTAAGACTTTATGACTCACTTCCATTGACCAGTCTTAATTTATTGTTCGATGTAATGTGCTCATAGAAATCACTCACTTCGCAAAAGAATCCTGTCGACCAATCTTAATGAGCCATTAAGATAGAATGCAAATTTCACTAAACATTAATACCGAATACGGCTAGCTATATAATAAACATTCATCGATATCATCAGAGTCGTTTATAACAGCCTCATCCCAAGGACCATAAATATTATCTTTATAACTCTGCCATCTAACCAACATTACTGGACAGTATACACTCAAAATTAACACTAACAACACAAAATAACACATCAAAGTAACAGACACAGTATACAAACACGTTAAAGTGATACCCAGAATAAGAAAATATAAAAACACAAACAATTTTGTGTTCAACAGTACTTTAAAAAGTTGAGGACTCAACACGAACAACAGTACGGACACAGTCAAAAGTACAAACGCATCGAACGGTGTTGACAGTCTAGAGACGAGACACACTGACGCGAATATCGCGGCGTTTATCGATAAAGATTTTGACACTAAAGCTACTTTCACTTCGTAATCGAAAAATATCAAATGTACTAACATCATAATTACAGACCAAGCGTAAATAGTATCTGTGCTCACTGTATCAGTCAATGTATGTAAAATAGGCGACAGTAAATAACCTATAACAATATAAATAAGTATTGTTTTGACTACTCTTGTGACGTCACTTCCTTCATAGCTCACGTACAATATGTAACTAAAACTTGTCATTAGAATAGACCCTATAACAACGGTATCCGAAGAAACATACTCGTTGTACATATAAAAGAACAAAACCGCATAAAATATACACAGACATATCCGTAGAACGATACGAAATGAACCGCAGACTGCTTGTTTTAAAGTCACTTTTTCGACGTACAAATTCTTCTTTAACTCTTCTAAGAATTTCGAGTCTGTATAATTGTCAGGATATTCACGGTTCTCATACAAGTTCTTCACCCAGGGTTTCCGTTTCGGCGTCTTCGTAAATCTGCTACGTCTCCGTCTGAAAGTGGTTTTCTTGAATTAATTTTCCTTTTTTCACCTGCACAACACAGAGGAGGGTGTGTATTCTTTCTTCGTCCTCTTTCTCTCTTGCTTCTGCTTCACGTCGGTACATTATAACACACTGTATTAAATCCGCGTAATAAGTTAATATAAAGTTCATCGATAATGATAAAAATCGACCGTGCCGCCATACGTAACCATTTGAAGTTTCTATGAGACAAAGATAGACGTCTGCAAATTGTGATATTATAATACTAGTAAAGACTAATGTTTGGCAACTATGAGATCATCATATAAGATACCTAATTGAAATTATGCCCAAATAAATAGTATAAATAACGCAATATTTGACACTGTGCATAAATAACAATAGAAAATTAGAAACATAACACATTTACCCTAAACACATTTTTTTCCATGCAGTTATATTAAATTTATGCAGCCATGCTGTTTTGGATTTGGCATTTCTGTTTAGTATAATAAATATTTAAAAGATACACATATTCATACTAAAATGATATAAATTATAATACAACAAATCACCTAGCTGCACCCTTCTTTGGCATTTTCTCTTTCATCTGCTTATATTTCTCTTGCTCCTCTATATATTGCTGGTACATCTCGTTGTCAGTCTCTATACTAGTAGTCTCCTGCACTGTTTCTGTCTCTTTCTTACTCTCTTCTTTGGAACCTTTCATTTCTCGTTTCAGTTGTTTGATCTCGTTCCTTATACGGTCTCTAAGAAATAATTAAAATAAAATGAAGGGTATTTGACTGACTATAAAATACAATTTCCCATATGACAGCCTATGTTTAGCAACAGTCTTGTCTAGAGCTTTTTCAGTCAAAACATAGTATATTACAAAGTCGCTTCCCGTCGTCTGAACGTATATATGCTTAGATCTTTAAAACTATGCAACAGATTTTCATAGTTTTAAAGACGTTTATGTATAATACAAGACCATACGCGCGAAACCGCTAGCGGAAAGCTAGTAATATACATAGAAGTCTGGTTGTTACAAATGATTCAACAGTCCAACCAGTTATTTAATTCTATCAAATTTCTGCAATCTGTTTTAAAGACATATATTATACGCGATACATGAAAAGTAGCGTTATGGACTACCTTTTACCTCAGTATCATGTAGCCTAAGTCATAATTATAAGCCAATTAAAATTATATTTCAGTTAAAGTTTAGATTTAATATCTTAGAGAAAATAGAAACAATTACTTCTCCTTCTGCCTCGCCATATCCCTTTCCTTGCCCAAATAATACTGTTCTACCAAAGATTCTTCTTCAGAATCTTCATTAGACTCATTGTTCTCAGGACTTTCGTCTCCTTTCCTCTTCTTACTGCTTGATCTTTCTGGACTCCTCTCTCTTTTGTTAGTACTTTTCAGCTTATCTCTTATGTTGCTCACTGTAGCAGCAGTCTTCTCTCTTTTTTCCTCTGCTTCTTGGCTGGTGTCGTTCATTTCTCCTTCTTCTTCTAACTCTATAATACATATTTTTGTTATTATATTTGATTAATTTTTCATTAACAATGCTATACCAATAAATAATTTTAATGCAAATTATTGAAAATCCACTAGCCTCAGGTACCTTCGAGATAGTTCCATCTTTTATAAGCAACTTTATAAGCATTTTTCATTTAAAATAAAAAAAAATCGATTCAATTTTTTTTATATAAACATTTTTGGGAAAACAGTGTCATTAATATGAAACTAGCTTACATTAAAAACGCTAAGGTTCTCTAATAATCATTCTAAGTCATAATTTTAATGAGTTTATAAAATTTCAAGTTTTTTTTTTATTTAACTTTGGCACCTTCACATAGTACACTTACCCGCTGCGGTTTTCTTACTCAACTTCGGATCGTCTAACAAATCGTGGGTGGACTTAGGTTTCCCCCTGTATTCCATAGCTTCACCTTCATCTTCTTCCGCCTCGTCACCAAAAGACAGGAGACATAAGTTCCTTTAAAGTTTTTTGTAATGTATTTTAATCAGTTACTCAATTGTCAGCTAGCAACAAAAAGATTTGATTTTTGTTTGCATGAAATAGTCTTAGAAACTACTTGATTGATTTAAAAACATTCTTTCGCCTACAGAAAGCTAAATCATTTGTGAGTGACATTGTCTATAATATACGCGAGCGAATATGCAGGAAAATAGTTACTCAGTTCATAAATATAGTAAAGCTATAAATTATCCATATAATAAAGTAATACAAGATTATATAGACAAATCAATTTCGTATTTTCTACTACTTTTTTACTAACCTTATATTTAAATATTGTAAACAAAATCTAAAAAGCATACTCCCATTGCTTCTCTATAATAATAAAATAGCAAATAATTTTGTATAAATTAAACGGCGATGTGAAAAGTATACAGACAGAACATAGAAGCAAAAAAGTGGTGATTCCACAGAAGCAATATTATTTTATGAATATATCGAGATTGTAGACACAGTACCTCGTCAGGTTACCACAATATGCATCTGCAGCTGATTTTGAACTCTACTCTAACTGTATTAAAGATTAAAATGATGTAGAGAATTTGGCGGCTTTATATAATTGACGTAATATTCACTGTGCCTTATAAAATCTATTAAGTATATAGACAACACCCATGAAGCATAAACTAAAGCTTTCTCCAGCATCAACAATGCAAGGTATTTTTAATACTCACTTAACACCCTGCCTTTCTTTTTTCTTCTTCTTGGGTTCTTCTTCCTCTTTGACCTCCAAGAGTCTAGGCACAATATCAGTGAAAGGATTAATTAGTACTTCAGTGTCAGTTATCTTGTGCGGATGTTCTGGTCTGTCATCAGGGCCTATCAGACCTTCAGATAGCTTCAACACGTTATATATTGTCTCTCCTGTTAAAAAATTACACATAAAAATTGTTGGTGAACCAAAACAAGTATACTGGTGAACCCTTAACAAGAAAAATTCTCATCATCAGTTTTTTAATGACCCTACTGCTGGCACAGACCTTCTATAAGGATGGAATCGAATTGGATTTAATAATGAGAGTGGACCATGACCTACCATGCAGGCCCAGCGTGGATTAGTGGGTGTCAACAACTGCAGTGGCAACCGAGCCCAACAGCTTAATATGCCTCCTGAAGCACTTTATTTTTATTTATTAAAAGGTAACTTTTGGATGAAACACAATTTGGAAATTACGCTTAGTATCATAACCTTGATTTCTAGAATAAGTAAATGTATTCAATCACAATTTTCAGGCAATATAATAATGATGATCATATCTCTATTTCTAATATAAACAAATGAAAGTCAATATTTATAAAAAAGAGATTACAATGATTACAATTCTTGTAAAAGGCTTCTTAACATTTCATTCAATGTTAAAATGTTATCCAACTTTGTTTACATTAGCAAACTGAACCAAATTGTAAGTAGTTTAAGAGTTATTTAATATGCTAAGTGACTATTAAAACACCATATCCAGAAACAAATAAATTTTCACAAACCGGTGACTTTTCCAAATATTGTATGTTTTAATTGAAGCTCAGGTGTGGCTGCTAACGTAAAAAAAAACTGTGAACCGTTGTCATCTTTGCCTGCATTGGCCATAGCAACCAATCCTCGTCTGTTGAACCGGAGACGTGAATGGAACTCATCCTGAGGATAAAAAATGCTATGACATTTCAGAATACAATGTGATTAGAGAACTAAAAACAATTGGTTAATTCTTTTTTATTAAAAAAAAATCAAATCATTGCATTTAGTTAAAATTATTCTAATGTGCGATAAAATTTTTGCTTTTTCTCATTGCTAAATTAAATCAATGATTCATGATGTCATTGTAATTATTCTTGCATTTGTTATACTTTCAGTTGCACAAACATTCATTAAGGTTTAATGTCACTTTTAAGCTCTAATTAATGTCAAATTTGTATGCATAACATAGTTTTAAACTAAAATTTTAATGCATGTTTGTGTAACTAGCTGATAATGTAACAATTTATATAAGCCAAATTCATTTAACATACTTACTACTAATATGCTATAAGATTGTTTTATGCCTTTTCATTGACTTGTATTGAATACTTATAAGTAATTATGTATTCTAATAAGTAATATAAAATACCTTGAATGGAGCACCATACACAGATTCACCACCAGTACCATTTCCATTAGGATCACCTCCTTGAACTATAAACTCTGGAACCACTCTGTGAAATATGGTACCTGCAAAGTGAAAAAGTTTTGGAACTTCAATAAACTTACGCCTCAATCAATATTTTTGTGGTATTTATGGTCACATGAGCATCTAGAAAGGTGTCACCATCTCTGAGATCCAGCATTTGATTTCATATGATCTCAATAAAGAACCTAATTTTTCTATTCTAAAACTTTATAATAATTATTTAGTTACATTATTATTTTACCTATCCAAAGAATTAATGTTATTTAATTATCTGCATAATCACTACTTTTACAAGAGATAAGGTATCAAAACCAAAAATGTTGCACTCATTGCTCAAGTTATCTAGATGGCAGCCTCACAGAGCCCCGTAAGACATGCCCTTGTTAATTCAACTAGATCTTGCATTAACAATGCTACTCAATGCTCAATGTTCCTAAGTTTAGGCTAAGTGTATCTGAGTGTAGTAGCAGAATTAAGAGAAAATTATTGTTACTGTAAGCACTTAAGTCTTTAGCAAAATTTTTTAAGTTTTTTTATTCTTTGAACCATGAAGCCTCTTATTATTGCATTGTGATACAATGGAAGAAACCCACACAGCCCATATATTATACCACCTCTGTCTATATTTAAATTTTGTCTCCATAAATCAAAGTAATCAGTAAAAGAAAATTATAAAAATTACCATTATAATACCCTTCCATACACAACTGGATAAAGTTTCTGCATGCTTTTGGTGTTTCTTTTGTCCATAATTCGATATCAATATCACCAGCTGTAGTTTTCAATAACACCTGCAAATATGATAAACTTTGTAGAAGTATACACTAGTATAATATTGATTTCCAGCTGAATGTTTTTGAACTAGGTTGCCACTAGCATATAAGGGCAATTTAGTCAAATAATCTCTTAGGGACAATTAAATTTATCATTGAGATTTATTAAGCACAAATTCATGTTTTAGATTTGCTTTGGATGCACAACACAACTAAATTGTAGAAATTCATCCCTCTAACAATAGTAATATTACTTACCTTGCCTAAAGCTGGTGGTTCTTGTATATAAATATTACTCATGTTGTCTTAAATGTTATATCTTCATAAATTATGTTGAAATTAAACGTCTTTTATTTTGACATACACTAATAAAAAATGAAAAACGCACTTTTTAAGTTGATATAAGTATACAAGCTCGCATTCGCATGTGATTCGCATCGCTCAATTAATGACATTGACAGTTGACACTTCACCTCAGGAGTATTTAATAGAACAGTTCCACGTATCACGTATTTTTCAATATTAACAGCACCTAAGTATGAGTAATTTACTAAATACTTAAACCACCTAGTATTTCTGTAAATTTCACAATTTTCGACCCTTCACTATGACATTAGATACATGTGTGCGTTATTGTATTTTTTGGATGTGCGCATCACTCTCAACTGGTTTTTTATCCTTTTTACAATTTTTGACTTTAACAAAGTGCACAACTATAGTCTATTCAACTTCCTCTGAGACAAAATGTAAACAAACAAACTAATGTTTCTCAAACAATTTTATTGATGGTGGTATGTAAATAAAATTTGTTAATGGGACAAATTATTGTATGGTAGGTATGCAATACAATAAGTCTATTTCTTTTGAAATAAAACTAGCAATTGTAAGAGTGAAATAATTTTATTCAGAATTTTTTCCCGTCTTCCTCTGAGGAACTTGTCGCACCAACTTCTATCACAAAACGGTAAATCTCCTATTGTTACCCTTTTAAGAGCATCGGTTAATAAAGATTTTATTTCATTTAACTTAAAAATTAACAATAACAGAAAACAACAAACTTAACAAGTGTAATAAACAAATAACAAGAATTTAACGAAAGCATTTTGTACCAGTCAACGAGTTGATCGAGAGAAAAAATGGCCGGTATAAACCGACAAATTACAAAATTTCACGTTTCTACGTAAAGTATTTACCTTATCTCTACTCCTTAATTTAGTAGTATTATAATACGTCCAATGTTTGGAATAGCCTCAATTTTAGGTACTTTTAATGTCACTTTCTTTTTTCTTTCATTCTAAATGCATTTGGTATATTAAAGAACCTTTTTCCAGTTTGTTTACATTTTGTCTCAGAGGAAGATGAACAGACTATAGAACTATGAACATACAAAATTATAATCAATGGTATCATTAATTATAATACCTACAATCATTGACAATATGAAATAGCTGATAATTTTTTCGTTAATTCGGTTTTGCCCCATAGTAAACGTTGTTCAGTATACTTAACTAATCCACTCCACGAAGTCCTCTATCCTATATCCTTATATATATATCAACTATACGTTCTCTTATGAATTAACCGCACCCGGCTAGAATGTTGTTTGTGCAAAGTACAACGTGCAAATAAGTTGTCGTTTCGAACTTTATAATACCTATATTTTAAAAACAACAATTGACAAAAAAATGTCCGCTCTAAAAGAACAACAGATCATTTTATTAGACTGTCTATAATATTTAATTGGAATGGCGACGACGAGAAGACGTGCACGGTAGCGCGGGGAGTATAGTTTCGAGCCTGGTGTTATGTTAATTTGTATGATGAGTATGTGTTTTTTCGTTTGGAAAATATAATTGAAAATAACAGGTAGGCTTCCTACTTAACCTATTCTAAAAATCAATTTTGTTATACCTAATATATTACTTATTGATATTTCTCGTCGGTGCATAATGGAACATAATGGAAAAACAGCACATAAATAACAAGCTGAATTCTGCGCTCCGCTTTTTGTTCTTCATTCCTAACACAAAATCGGATGAATCAAGTAAAGTAAAGTTAAGAGCAACCAATAAGTTGACTCATCGTTGGTTGAAATATAAACATAAAATCGTTTTTTTACACGTAACATAATAAATAACTCAAACTTGCAGTACAAATAGAGTTTGGCAAGCGAAACGTGACACCACCTATTTTTCCGTTTTCATATGGCAACAACATAGAACTGTCAGTTTGACACTACGTTAGACAATTCAAGAATATTGAATTTTGTTGTTTTTGCGAATTTGAACTTGTGTTTTTGGTTAAAAATTATGTCGAAGCCGATAAAAAGTTCATCGAGGAAACTTCTTTCCATCATGATTGACAAGTTTACTGAAGTGAAAACTGAATTAAATAAAAATTTCATGGAGAAATTACAACGATTAGATAAAGTTGTATCTTTTTTAGGTTAGTTTTGTATTATAATTTTGATACTTTCGTTTTAATTTTCTGTAATTAACTAAACAGATATTTTTTATAAAATATTGCTCTATTTCAGATAACTGTGATGGTGATATTCAACCAATAATGGAGGAGATAAATGCAATAAAAACTTTAGAAAAACAAGAAATGCTGAATTCGGAAACGCAGTACTTACAAAAAATTTCTTCAATGACAGGTCTCTTTTCTTGTTTTGATTTAAGATAGATTGATAGTATTCCTATAATATTTACATAGGTTTTTTATGATGTATTGGTTTTTATTGTTGACATCCAATGATGTCATAAGAATGTTTTGTTTAACAAGGAAATTCACAGAATTCATGAAACTAATCAAACCATGTAATTGTTATACATGCTAAATATGCACATAAACTTAACTAAATTAAACATAAATTGCATTCATAGTTGAATAGGTATTTAAATTATTTTGATGTATGTGTCTATCATTATTTGCTTTTAAATACATTTAACATATCTTTGTTTCAAAGTGTTTAATCTTTTATAGATGTAAGTATAAGGACACTAAGAAGGATAAAAAATGAAGCATTAATTAATAAAGGAAAATGGGACACTCCTGGGAAAAAACGACCTCATCAACCAACAGTGTCTGCTTTAGATAATTTTGATTTAAGTGCAATTCGGAATAAAGTAAATGAATTTTACTGTGTGAAAAAAATTGTTCCAACATTAAGAAGCCTTCACAATGAATTAAAAGATGCAATAGGATTCAGTGGTAGCCGTGAGACTTTACGAAAAATTATGCTTAAGAATGGATTTTTTTTTAAAAGCAATGAAAATGAACGTTCTATGCTTATAGAAAAATACCAGATTTCTGCATGGAGGCACAAGTATTTGAGAGAAATAAATATAAAACGAAACGAAGGAAAGCAAATTGTGTACCTTGATGAAACTTATGTACATCAGAATTATAAAGTTAAAAAGTCTTGGCAAGGACCTTCAACAACTGGTGTCACTACAAAGATATCCTCTGGAAAACGGCATATTGTTGTGCATGCTGGATCTGAGGAAGGTTTTGTGCCTGGTGCATTATTAGTGTTCAGTAGTAAATCCAAATCTGCTGATTATCATGGTGATATGAACTCATCGAACTTTATGAAATGGGTCAGAGAAAAATTAATACCAAATTTAAGTAAGCCCAGTGTAATTGTTATGGATAATGCCAGCTACCATATAAAACAAATCAATAAACCGCCTATAATGTCTAATACCAAAGCAGATATCCGTAAATGGCTTGTAAATAATGGAATACATTTTGAGGAATATCAGACAAAGGCAGAGTTAATGTGTTTGGTTAATGATAAGAAAACATTGCCTGTATATGAAGCTGAAGAGATTTTAAAAGAACATAATCATGAACTTTTATTGCTGCCACCGTATCATTGTGACTTAAACCCAATAGAGATGGTTTGGAGTCAAGCAAAAAGAAAAATTGCAAGCAGAAACATTGGAATACCAGGAAAGGAAATGGAAAACTTAATAATAGAGTGTTTTAACTTAATTACCCCTAGTGACTGGAAGAAATACACTGATCATGTTTTAAATGTCGAAAATGATTACAAATTAAAAGATGGCATTGTTGAAAACGAACTTGAAAAATTTATTATATCTGTTGGTGCAGACAGTAGTGAAGAGAGTGACTCTGATGATTCTATTGTGATTAACATGATGATTTTGTGACACCTGTATTATGTAATTTATCCATGGCACTTAATTGTAACAAAAATAAATGTTTTTTTTATTGTAATCTGGTGTTTATATTGACTAATTTAATTTGATAGATAGTGGTTCTGGATCAGAGCAAAAGGTTGTGATGAAAATCCCTTAGGAGACATGTATGTGTTATGAACACATTATAAATATAAGGGCCAGAAATCAAAATTGGCTAACATCACATTTATTAAAAAAATGTGGCCAGAGTCGCCCATATTCATTACAAAAAAACAAAGAAGTCGTTGCAAAAAACACCCTTTTAATTAATGACAAATATGAATTTTTAATATTATAAGTGCTGTTAGCCAATAGGTATAACGAATGGGTTAAAAAAAAGATTCGATTTAGTCCGTCAGTCAGATAATAGAAAAATATTGGATACGTATTTTTTTTCGCTTTAATTTAACAACAAATGGCTTAAGAGGTACTATGCGACGACTTCAAATATGCTTTGCAACAATGTTACTTTAATACAGTTTATCGATACGAAATCAAGTGTCAAAATGGAGTCCAGTGGAGAATGCCGATATTGACATTTCGAAATTGCTCATCATTGATAGAGAATACGAAATAGTGATTTTGACACAATCAAAGTGTCTATTTTTTACGGTGATGACGATTCTTGGTTGTCAGTTGAGTTAGTGAATAGGCCTACTGATATGCTGTTAACTGTACAATTAAGAACAGTCACGCTTTAGTCAAATGTTCCAAAACAAATAATTTTAATTGATATCTAAATGTTAAGATTAAATATAATTAATAAAAGTATCAAAATTATTTTGCAGTACTACATTCAGTGTTTACTGCTTAAGAATTTTTGAAATTGCCGCCCTTTTCTTGTGACACGTTTCGCTTGCCAGACTCTAATTTCAAATTAATTTGAAAGTGAGATAGGTACTATATGAAACATGAAACGATGTCATATTAATTATTTAACGATATTCAGTTCACTTTCATTGCGTCAGAAATAAAAATCTGAATGAATATTATAGCCATTATCTAACTTATTTTTTAATATTACCTCATTGGCGCTATAGTCTTTTTCAGTCTTTTTCACAATAAACCACAAGGATGACCACAATTTTTAATATAATTTTAATGTTGTCAAATATCCTATTATGGATATTAAAAAGTTATATATGTTTTAAAATTTAAATAAATATCTAATAGACACTCAATCAAACTATTTTTTTAAAGGATGGTTTTAATAATTTGGAAATACAAATTGCATTATAGATTTGTAAACAAACGTCACCGTACCCATGATATGTGCAACTAGTGTACCAAATCAAGAATACGAAACGTCACAATAGTGCCAACTTAGCAACTTCATAGCTAGATCTAGCTATTATATGGTGTCAGACAGCTACAATTTAATGAAACTTGTAGCTAAATATTTTAAATACTTTTTATAGCAACTTTTAATATAAGCAAATAATAGTCATGATGATGTAACAATGGCATACCCTTTATTTAAACAAATGACTTTCTGAAAAGAAGTAATGCAGTTGAAAAAATAAACTATAAATTCCTCCAGTGAAAATTGAAATGAGGTTTCTATGAGGGTAAGCACCTTTTTTTTATTTGCCTCTCACTGCTACATATGCAGAGGCAGAGTAGGTACTGCATAAAATGGGCACCATTGAAAAAACTTCAAAGAAAGATACTGCTGAACCCAGCCAATACATCCCTCCTTCGTTAATTGATTCATTCAATCACTTAAGATAGTTAAAAAGAGATATTATTAATGCTATCTTGTGGGGTCTCATAAAAATAAAAAACAATAGCCTGAAATTGTCATTTATTGCACCATACTACTTTAACATTTAGCTACTTCTAACACCTTTTTTTGGTTAAAAGAACTGTCAATCTTGCAACATTTTATAAAATGTCTAGCAATTGGCTGAAGCTAACAGTTAGCAACACTGTTCACGATTGCAATGTCAATCGATCGGGATTGCATTCAAGTTCAAGAGTAGCTATGCAGGTCACGGTTACGTAGACATTACAAGATAAACAACCGTACCCCTGGGAAGGTAAGGGTGAATCTTGAGATGTTCAATTTGGCCTGTCCGGAAGGAAAAAGTGCGTAGTTTTTAAAATTTTGATTTTTAATTACCATAATGCAATGTATAATTGAGGCACGATAGTTATTGTGTCTAATTTAGGTACACACGGCTGCACGTCAAGTTACCACACTATATCAAATATGTACTGGATTTTGACCTCTACCCACAATACGTTAAGATTTAAAAATGAGTGGGGTAATTTGACAGTTTTGTATAGTCTGACGTGCAGTTGACTGTACAAAGTAGAAAAAAATCTTAAAATCCCAAAAATAATAGAGTATCGGCCGGTTTCTGAATAAAGAAAAGCACAATATCTGAACTGATTATCCTCAATAACTTAAGTTTTCACGTTACATATGGCAAAAAGTCCTAGTTTTATCAAATTGTTATCAACTGATCAATAAAAAAAAAAAAAATCAGTAATGAAAAATTGTTTAATTGACGATTAAAATGGCTTAAGCACGGTTTGAGACGTGCTCAACTTCAAATTTTCAATTCAGAAACCGGGTGTCTGTCTCGCGAAAGAAGTCCCTCGGATCACAATGTTTTTGCTTTTATTACAAAGGAATAAGAGTTATGCCGCGGGACTTCTTTCGTTGAGACAGACCACCACTAGTGTGTACTCATCCTTACGCACCATCGGAAATAAATTTATAAATTGGTTTTATGTGTAAATATTCATTGTGGCAGTGTGACAGGTACATTTTTTATTTATTCTTCATTGGCAAAAAAGGCTTAATGCCGTATAGCCATCTCTCCCAATCAGTAAGTGTCTAAAAGCAATAATAGGCGGTAAAGACTAGAACAGAATACATAAAAAGCGTCAACGCATAGATACATAAAATTATAACTATAAGCATAAGGTTCTAGGACATCATAGAAATTTCTTTTGTTTCCTTAGCTATTTAGTAATTATTGTGGGTAAATGGGAACGTTAGCGAATGCCAATATATTTTTATGAGTAGTAGTTTTTAAGTACTAACATTCCGTCAGCAGCTTTGCCCGAGTGGTCCCTAGGGAACTATTGAGTAGGATAAAAAGTAGCCGATTCTTAATCCAGATTTAGTAGGTTTCATATCATATGTCAAGTTGAATAGTAAGCAATGATTACTATGGTAACGTTTTAATTAGCTATACAAACTTCCATTACCATTTTCATGCCTTTTTTTGCTCTTTTTCGGGATAAAAAATAGCCCACGGGAACGGTACACCGACGGGAAGCGGTGGACCCGCTTGATGTTAAGAATATTTTCCGAGATAGTATTTTGGATGTAAAATTGATAAAATATAATAATTAGAACAGATTTTTAACTTAATCGAAAGGTTACTATACGAATAAAAATATTTCTTTCGGCTGTTTGGATGGATTGCCTGAATTGATGAAAGTATGCTCACTAGTAACAAAAAGTAACAGGTTCTTAAAAAATTCGTCAATCCTCTATACGTTCTGGGTAGCTCGGTGATTAGGGCAGTCTCACGTATAACGAAAGGTCATGCGTTCGAGTGCCATCTTAAGGTATGTGGGGCTGGTGGATTTCTAAGCATTTCTCATTACAAATATGAGTATAGATTAAATCTCTTCAACATCCCGCAGCCATTAGTTAAATATTAAATTATCAAAAGTACAGAAAGATTTTTGAACTATTAAAGGCTTGTTTTGAAATATACATAATAAATATTAATTATAAATACCGAGTACGGAATTAGAAATGGAAGTAAACAGAAAATAGTGGTTACGAGCTGCGGAATGAAATGCAAGCTTGTTTGGGGCTTTACGAACGTCCAAGGGCAGCGCAGGAAGCTCGTGTTGTTGCGTAAACTCTAGTAGCGCTCTGAAAACAGTAGGGGAAGACTGCACTGCTCGTCGCTCGACGAAATAACGGAGGTAAATATTTGATATCCCTCATTTTGTTTCACTAGGTGTTTGATTATCCCACATTTTAAATTGTATCTTAGAAATTATTGTATAGTCTTAACGGAATAATTCAAATTACCATTATTTATTTCATTCATTGTTATTATTTAAAATATATACATTTTAGCACAATCTATAGAAAATAAACTAATTTTTACCGTTGTTGATCCCCTTGGTATTTACCTATACAAGGATAAACAAAATTTTCTTTAATTTGCGTCGAAAGAAACAAAATTTGTTAATAATTCGAATAACCACAAAACTTTGCTTCTTTGTACCATAGTGAATTTTTAAAAAAGTTTGTAATGAAGGCGAGTTCTTACTCTATGATTACATCGATGATTGTCATTGAAACATTCTATTTAATAAATTGACGATTATCTAACTTCTCCTTTTTTGAAAATAATAGTGGTTTTTGTTTTTAAATATTCAATTCGATTTTGGTGCAGAGACATCCTTGAAAATTTATGTGATTATTTATTTTCTTTTATTATGTTAGTAAATTTAAAATACAAATCTTTGAACTAGGTAGGTACTTTAAACACTCCTTTTATTTGAAAAAAATGTTAAACGACTCCTTGAAAGATGAGGTATTTTTTATGGAAAAAAATGAGTTTTATTTTTCCATATAGCTTAATTCATTATCTATTGAATAAAATAAAACGAAGGTTATAGACGTCTATATAAATAAGATATTAACATTAAAAAAATACAAAGGATTGCACTTCCAAGAACTAAAACCGAATTGCAGGGATTAATTATTAATATACGTCTCATACAGTCATTTTCTGCGAGCGCAAAAAAGGTTCGATACATAAGCCATCATGCGCAAAATGAGTTTCGTTTCAACAGATCAGCGACACTACAGAGGTTTTTAAATACTTCCTCATTCTAAACGAAAACTTTTTAGTGTTTACGGATAGTGGGTAGCCTAATCTTCTTACTTTGAATAGCATCATTTTGATAAATATATCGATTATTACGTATAATAAATGAAAACTAAAATTTTGAAACATATAATTATGAAAGAAATATTAATTAATTTAGTTTCCTTAAAATTAAAAAATATTTTACATAAAAATTATGTGGTATATAATCTCATAAGCATATAAAACTCATTCAATCTAAACCCATATTATATTATATAGTTAATAATATATAATAAAAAATAAAAATATAATATTACATTATATAATAAAATAAAAAATAAAAAGTAATAAAATTTAGTATAAAAACAATTTACATTTTAATAATATTCAATTATTATAGTTGTCACTTCATATAAAAATCAAAACTCATTAGATTATTTAAAATAATAAACATATGAAATAATTTATAATAGAAAAAAAAAATCTTTTCCTCTTATGGCAATAGAAGTTAAGTTAATGAATTACTCATAATGGCGCTCGCCGGCCGCTGCCGAGGCACGCTCACTTCGCACGCTTGACTCGCTTTTTGTTTTGGTCACAGTTCTAACCTAACCTAACCGAATGATGAGTTCCTGTTGTGAACAATAAATGAGAAATTTAAATTAAATTAATTGGTTTTGTCACAAAGATTTCAGTGCTAATCTGATCGAATTCGATCTATCTTAAAAAGTGAAAAATTATAATATTATAGTCGAATATTCTATTCTTACGATTAGTCATTATATACTGATATAAAATAACGATTATAGCAATTAATCGGTATATTCAATCAAGGCTTAATTGAACTTTATGAGAAAAGCATTATATTATTTGAGTATGAGGTATGTAGAATAATGGTTATATTAACAAAAATGATGATACCAGTCGTTATTACAAATGTTCATTCATTTTATATAAAGTTGTAGTTATGAAATTATATAAAAAGTTGCTATAACAAATGAAGCGCATCCGTTATTTACCTATCGAAAGTGTTTATGAATTACTTTTATTTATATACTGGCCACCCGAATATCGCGATATTGAATTATATATTTGCATATCTAAAATCTATAGGTACTGTTACGTCCGTGTCCATTACTATAGGTAGGTTTACTCTTCGGACAATTTATGGTCAATGCTGGCCGTTAATATTTTGAATTATTACTTTTTCTTATTCGAATTTCTGACCGGCACAGCGTTAGTATCTTAGAATTTAGTTAGATACTGCTGATCCCTCCATTAGAGTATTTATATTTTACATATGTAAATATAGAATTCTTTAGGGTTTTTGGAAATTCTACCCCGAACGGGGTTAAAAAAACTTTAGGCTTTACTTTACTAAATGGCGTATTCTAAACTAAACTGCGCTATCGTTTGCTTCTAATTTTGCGTAAATTTCAGTTTTCGACTAAGTTTTTACACAAAATTCAATTTTTTCTTTTCATTTTCTACTGTATTTCAAATTGGATAAAAAGCTTTAAAGTTTTCGAAGTGTTGAAACATATTGGACATTAGTCGGTGTATATGTAATTAATGTTTTATTATTTTTCTGTTATGTCTTATTTTTTGTGATAGTATTTTGTATTCTCAAAAAGTTTAATATAATTTTGAACTCATTTGTTAAATAACATATAAGCCCTGTACAAATATTTCCACTATTGGCTATTATTTAAGGTGCATAAATAAAAATAAACATAACTTTATTTGTAATTTTATTCTAATATCGAGAATAATTTTCTATAATAAAATTAGTGATTAAATAATTTTAGTTAGTGTTTGATTAGAAATTATGTTAAAAATCACATGTTTGCTACATGAAAATAATACTTAAAATTACTTTTTTGCCTATTATTGAATGAAAAATTATATATATGTAAAAAACATTAAAAGTTGTTCATTTTATATCCCGGATGCTTACCATGCAGGGGACAACTGTATATAAATTAATTGACTATGCATTTCTGACGATGGCATAACCTATATATGTATAATATACAGCTACTTAAACATCCATAGGGTAGGCCTGAGCCCCTGCAGTGGGGACGGAAAAGGGCTGATGATAATAATAATGAATAACCTATAAGCGACAGCTCTACATGTTTAAAGGTCAATATCGATCGTTCGGAGCTCGAGATGGCGTACTATTCTGGTTTTGATATTATTGTGAGCACATTCATACGAGCGCCGGATCACAGAATAGACAGAAGGTAATCAAATATATATCGTACATATAATTCATTTTTTATACCTACGCTTGGAGGACGCTAAAGTTTTTAACTTTGTCTTATGAAAAAAAAAACACTATCGTAGTAGTGACGCTTGTGTCTAATTGTTTGATTTATTGTTGAGAATGAAACAAAAAGAAAGGAAATATAAACCAATATTTCATATGTTATCAATTTTATGCAAAATTGTAACAGAAAATATATTGCGTCTATTTCGACATTGACGAAATGCATGATTATTATATTTTAAAATCTCAATCTGTCAAAAATCAACATAATATACACACAAATAACGATACCTATATGTTTTCAAGTTACGTACATAATTTCGAATAAAAATTCAGTGAAACTAGCAATACTCACTAAATGAGTTTCATGTAATTGTAAATAATTATAGGTCATCAACGCTGATAAATATATTTCCATCCATATAGTTTCCTTAAAGCTGCTCATAAGAGAATATAAGTAATTATCTACCCACTTTTTTGTCATTTCGTTTCGTTAAAAAGTTCACAGACGGCATCTGACGGCACTCGCGCTCACACTGGTCCGAAACGGTCCAAGACATCGTGTCCGTGAGCGTTGTCTATGTGTGCGTTGCTTGAGCGCACTTTGAATGTAGATTGTCTTCTGTTATGTATATTCTGTGGCCGGACGCCGATCACTCAGTTTGCGTGCTATTTTGCCAATAATCAATACCACCTATCTAAAATATCGTAGCCTAAGGAGACCAATAATAAACCTTTACAGTACTATTAATAAACACGGTTTAGCTTCAGCGAAAATTTTTACTATGATTGCAATTTTAGTATTAGTCCGAATTCTTATTAGACAGAGAATAAGCGTACCTTCTAGAAGTAAATATTACCTACTGCCGTTGAACCTCGTAATAGGTTAAACTTTGCTAATAATTTTGACTAATACTAAGTTCAGTCGCAGCCTAAATTTACTCCAACGCTAAACCTTGCTTATTAATAACACTGATAATGTTCATATAATTATACCAATAGGATTCCCAAGAATAATTCGGATTCCTAAAAATAAATATCATAAAAATAAAAACTCTTTTATGAAATACTTGCTAACTTTAACGCATTTTCGTGTGCAATTAGTAGAGGAAAGTAACTGAGCATGGAATGTAATATTGAAATTCTTTCTCTTAATATTTCGAATAGAAGAAAATTTCTAGATTTTTGCGATTGTTTACCGAGGCGCTAGGCTTATCTCAAATAATAATAATTTAGAAAGTAATTTCACTATTCCATTTTGGTATACTATTTTCATTCAGAGATTCTGCTGGTTAGGTTACTTTAATATGATATTCTGTTAATTATAGCTGATGTAAATGATAAAATTTATACACTGCTGTACACTAAATTACCAAAATACGACAACTTCTCCAGACGAATTGAAACTCTTACCTAAGATTTAAAATCAAATGGTGAAGTTTGACTGATTTATATAACCTGATTAAGATTAAGAAATACTCATTGTTTTATTTTCAATGCTAACATTTGTAATCCCCGCAAATTGCAAACGCGCCTGGCCGCCATTTTGATGACGTCGTTGCGTTCAAAAATCAGTACCGTTAACAAATAAACACTGGTTGACGAGTACACTTATTAACTTGGGTTGTGTTGACATCACAAATCATATTTTTATGTTTTTGTTGGTTACGATTGTTATTATTAAGTACTTGTTACGTCTGACTAAAATAGCAACTGTAATAATGATTTTCACACTCAATAAACCGAATTTCACTAATAATAAATATATCTAATATTTCTCACTTCATTATTGCTATTGGCTATGTTTTAAAAATCCTTTCCGTTTGTTA